GGGCAATAAATCCAAACAGTGATAACTCTTGGTTCTCACTTACATATCCTTAACAAACTGGTTTGAATATTTGCTTCATATAGTTTTCTACCATATGGTACAAGATTAGGTTGAAAAACCTCTTACTTTTTGAGTAATGAGATTTTTTATTAAGAAAGGTCATGGTAACGGAGGGAAAATTGTACAAGCAAGTAGAAGGTGCATGATTTTGTATAATTTGTCGCTTTTTTTCTTCCAAATACTTTAATATTACTTCAAAATGAAAAGAAACTATTTCTATAAAATATGTCAGTCCTTCCAAGCAAATTTTTATCATTTTAAATACTTTTTTTTTTTCAATCATATACCTTCATCAACAGTTCAAAGATGGAATAACACAAGATATGGTGAAATACATCAGTTTATTTACATGATTTGCAGGTCTTTGAAATTTGGGAAATAATTTTTGTTCCATGTTTCATACATGGTCTGTTTAAAATGTATGTAACTTTAGAACCAAAAATGGTACAGAAAAAAGGTACACAGTTTCATAAACTAGAGTACATATGTATCTGTTCAATACATTTTTATATCAGATGCATTAACTTGAATTTATGGCCTTGTTGTTTACTTCTGCTTGACCGGGCCCAGTAACCAGGATACTGCGTTTACATGCCATAGTATTCCGTTACTATCGGAATATACTGGTTTCTCATAACCGGGATACTGTCTTATTTTGGGATACTGAAACCGGGATACTGCGTTTACATGCACCATGACAAAACCGGGACACTCAAAAAACCTGATCGTACCTGGGACGCTCTCACAGTGGAGCACTTCCTGTATTACCACAGGAAATCACAAGGTGGAACAGTGTTTTCTGTCTGAAAGAAGAACTAAATATGCAGAGTTTGTGTGTTAAATGTGTGAATAAAACAAACCACAACTCCAGGTCTGTTTTTGATGAGGAAACATTATAACATGAATCAGAAAAAAAACATAATTTTATCAAACTATTCATAAGTAGCTTTTCGATTTTGCGCCGTAGAGGATAAACTCACTCAGGTGTGTAAGAACATGCAAGTCAATGGCTACTTTATATTCATATTTCCGTCATATAATCTATACAAAACCACAGTGGAAATCCTCTGTGTTCATTTCACGTAGTTGCAGTCTTTTTTTTCTTTTTTCCTTTCTTTCTTCGGAGTAACTCAGCCCGGTCTCTCGTACACGTTGGTGTTTTCTCTCTCAGCCTCTCGGCGGAGTCTCTGCAGACTTGCGTCACACTGATGCTTTGAAAGGCAGTATCTGAAACCTCCTCTACACATTACTCTCCTCTGGGTGAAAAAGTGCTCGTTCCCTCTCTCTCCATCGCTCACTCCTCTATCTCCCCCTCTCTCTCTCTATCTCTCTCTCTCTCTCCAATTTATCTCCCCTCTCTTCTCCCATTGCCCCTCTCACTCCCTCACTTACTACGACTCTCCCCTTTCTCTCTCTTTCCCTTTCTTTCTCTCTCTCTGTCTTTCTCCCTCCCCTTCTCTCTCTCTCCCTTTCCCATCTTTCTCTCTTCTTTCTTTCTTTCTTTCTTTCTCTTTTCTTGCTCTCTCTCTTTTCCTCTCTCTCTGCCCCCCTCTATATCTCCCCTTTTCTTTCCCCTCTGTATCTCTTTCTTTCTTTCTCTCTCTCTCTCTCTCTGCCCACCTCTCTCTCACCTTTCTCTATCGCTTCCTTTTTCTCCTCCCCTCTCTCTCTCTCTCTCTCCCCCATTTCCTCTCTCTCGATCTCTCTCCCTCCCCTTCTCTCTCTTTCTTTCTATCTTCCTCTTCCTCTCTCACCTTCTCTCCTCATCTTTCTCTCTCTCCTCTCTCCCCTTTTTCTTTCTTTCTTTCTCTGCCCTCTCTCTCTCTCTCTCTCTCTCTTCTCTCTCTTCCCTTTCTTTCTCCCTCTCTCTTTCCCTTTCATTCTCTCTCTCTCTCCCCACTCCCTCTCTCTGTCTTTCTCCCTCCCCTCTCTCTCTCTCTCCCTTTCCCATCTTTCTCTCTTCTTTCTTTCTTCTCTCTCTCTCTGCTCTCTCTCTTCTCTCTCTCTCTTCTTCTCTCTGCCCTCTCTCTCTCTCATCTCTCTCTCCTTCTCTCTCTCTCTCCTTCTCTTCTCTCTTTCTCTTCTCTCTTCTCTCTCTCTCTCTCTCTCCCACTCCTTCTCGCTCGATCTCTCCCCCTCCCCTTCTCTCTTTCTTTCTATCTTGCTCTTCCTCTCTCACCTTCTCTCCCCGTCTTTCTCTCTCTGTCCTCTCTCTCCCCGTCTTTCTTTCTCCACACTCTCTCTATCCCTCTCTCTACCTCTACCCCCCTCTCTCTCTCGCCTCTCTCTATCGCTCCCTTTTCCTCCCCTCTCTCTCATCCCTCTCTTTTCTCTCCCTCTTCTCTACTACACTTCTTGCCTGGGACTAAATTATTAAAGTTTTAGCCTGGATGCTGCAGAGTGTGATTCTGCTCAGAGGAATCCTGTACCTCAGATACATAAAGACGCTCCTGGATTTTACTAATGAGACTCGGTGAAAATCTCCCCACGTACGACTGTAAGGCCCCCCCCTCCCGGAGTGTCACGTCCTCTTTAAACCACACCGCTCCACTGAGGTCCACACCTGCTGCAACACTTGGCACGATTTGGCTGATGTCTCTATGGAGAAAAATGAAACAAAACAGAAAAGTTAGTGGAATTCAAAATAAAAGTTTGTGTGGAAAATTATTATTAAGATTATTATTAAAATCATAATCTTAGCAACCAAATGCAATACTTTGTGATAGGGGTGTAACGGTACATGTATTCGTGCTGAACTGTTTAAGTACGGGACGTTTGGTTCGGTGCAGGACTGTGCATGAGTGAGTTCATGCAATCTGTGTGTTTACATTCCACCATGACATGTGCAGCTGCACAAAGGCTCGGCTCTTTAATATTCACAAGTTAACTCGTCCGTTATTGGGGTGGCAGTGTTTCCCGCAGTGCTTCATAGTTAGGGCGGCCGCCTTGACAACAATTGCCCCCCCCCGCCTTGACCTAGTCCCTCCAAACCACGTGAATCCTTGCAAAATTTTAATCATTGCGCCGGGGTCCACACTTTCACCTTTTGTTGGCATGGAATCTCTATCCCCCCCCATTGACATTGACATTGTAACTGCAGCAGATCTGCTCTTACTGCAGACAATGTGGACAAATTTTTGTAAAATTCATGCTGGAAATGTTAGTGCTGCGTTTTACTTTTTGAAAAGTTTTGTTTGCTGTTTACAAGGAATTTATTTCTTATAATATTTCATACATTTATTGCTTATTTTAGAATATTTTATTTAACTTATTAGTATTACCAAGCAGCACTTTGCATTTATTTTATTTTCCCATTTGTATAATGTTAAAACAAATTGTTGCATTTTCTTCCCATACTGAACCAAAAATGAACCAAACCCTGACCTCAAAACTGATGTACCTACCGAACCGTGATTTTTGTGCACCGTTACACCCGTACTTTGTGATAAACCTGTTGGCGATTAGTTGGCAATACGTTTCATTGGGCGTCCGTCACCTGCTTGTTTCTATGGATGTGCCTACCTTATATTTATTTAAGTACAGTTGGTTTTATCGCTCAAAAATACCTAGAAAAACAAACATTCTGACTATGAGAGCTCCACAGATCTGACCTGTAACTTGGTCTAGTTTGGTTTCCATGAAGATAGAAAGGTTTATTGCCATACTGTGAAACATTCCAGGCAAAGCAATAACATCTGCATCGAGAAAAGCATTTGACGGACCCTCCACGAGTCACACAATGCATATTGAAACCTGTTGGCTAATTTTTAATTATTCTTTTCTAATATGCACAATACACAATTTAAATGAGGTTCTGAACATGAAACTCCTGAATGATGGGTCAAATGCAAACTACAAATTTCCCATGAGAACTACAATGAGTCTTAGCCCATGAAATCTAAACCAGATCTAAACTATTTTATTTTATTTATTTATTTCATTCATAAAGCATAAAAAGACATCTACAGTGTCACAACATCAAACACACAAGAAATGAATGAAAAGGAGCAGAAAGAAGAAAAAAATCTTATGTTATCTGCCCCCCTTTTCCTTTTTCAAGACAAAACATCAACACTGATCGTCACTAAACATTCCAGATCAGTTCAGGCACAATTACTGATCAATTGCAAACAGTAAATCTTCATTATTATACACAACTTAGTTTTCTTTTTCATACAGACACAGTGCATTCGATTTTATATGTTTTTTAAATGTCGTCATTGTACTTGATTCTTTTATTTCTTTGTCAAGACTGTTCCATAAGTTCACTCCTTTCACAGCGACACTTCGCTCCATAACCTTGGTTCTGAATCTGGGTTTTTAAACATGTAGGTTCCTTTTAAATTGTAGTGGCTTGTTCTCATCTCAAACAGTTTTTGAATATTTACAGGTAATAAATTACACTTTGCTTTATACATGACTTTGAGGAGACTTAAGTCAACAATATCCTGCATTTTCAACACTTTAAGTTGAACAAATATTGGGTTGGACGTGTCTCTACAATGACTGCTGGTGATGATTCTCAAGGCCCTTTTTTGTAAAATAAATAAAGGTTGTACTGTATTTCTATAACTGGACTATTGTAGGTTCTCTTCTAGGACTAAACCAGGTCTAAATGTAGGACTACACAGTCAGTATAGTTGTTTGAGACAAGAAGGATTGAATGATCATCCAGCAACTATTGGAAATGTCGAGTACATATAAAACCACTTTGGAAACTTCTGGTATTAACTTCTATCAACCACGTTACCGAATTTCATACCGATTCTGTCCATCGAAGCTAAAAATTGGTTTCACAAAAGCAAAACGTGTACCTGTTTACTTACCGTCAGTATGAACTCTCCGGACTTTGCGATAGTCGTGTCGAGTCCGGCTGTGCTTTCATTGTAGGGAGTATTATACCTCTGGCTACATCCGTTGTTTTGTTTTTCTTTCCCCAGGGTCCGACTCAGTGGCACATGCAGATCATCATGGAGAAACTTCTGAGGACCGTGAACCAGACCGTCATCTCCATGGGCCACGACTCCCCGTTCATCGTAAGTGCAGCGTTTTATTTATGTTTTTTGCGGCTTTGTTTGGCTTCTGGTCTAAATCGCTTGTTGTTGCCGTTGGTTACAATTAATTTTAGAGTTATTCCAGACTATTTCGCTCCCCTTACATTCTTAGATCTCTTGGCATTTTGTTGTTAAAGATGCTGTGGACCGTGTTTATGCTTTGCCCCTGTACAATATTGCAATTAGAGGTGGGTAATATTATAATATATTTAATTAGGGCTGGATGATAAACCAAAACAAATAATCTTTTTGGCCTCTAGCCCTTTGTTTTGTCTTATTAAAGGTGCTGTACCTGATTTTTGCTTTCTTAAAAATGTGAAAAACAGAACTAGTTCATTTCAAAATAGCTTGCAGTGGTCCAAAGTTATTCCTCTCTTACTTTTATGCATCTAGTTATTCATTATCGTAAGCACTTTTCACAACTTTCAGAGCGGTAAAGCTGCGACAAGCAACAACTAATATTCTAACCGTCCACTTTCACAGTAAAACGCACCGTGAACTTGGGCTACGTTCAGACTGCGGCCTGAAGTGACCCAAATCCGATTTACGTGACCTGTATCTGATCTTTTAATGGCAACACAGATCTGATTTTTTTCAAGTGTGACCCAGGACACTTGGATATGTGCTCCTAAAACCGATACATATCCGATCTTCTTGACACGCGACTTCAGACTAAACGGCCAGGTCACATTCATCCCACCTACACGTCAGAGCTCGGAGTCTCATAAATGGAGGGAAAGCGAGGTTAGAGAGTTTATTAATATTTGGGGAGATCCCTGTATTCAGGCCAAACTGGAGGGTTATTATTCGAACCAGGCTTTTTTTTTTTTATGATTGCCAAAGAAATGGTCGAGCGCGGCTACAGACGATCCTGGCTCCAACGTCAATGAAAAATAAAGAGCCTGTGAGACAAATACAAGGAGACTAAAGACTCAAACAAACAAAGCGGCCGTGGACGTGTAACCTTAGCCTGATTCATCAGCCAGTTTTACTTTGTGGAAACCGTTTGACCTCGCAGCAGTAGAATTTGTTCGCTCGACGATAGGTGGGTCCTTTTTTTTTTATTTAACCAGTCGCTGCTATGACGTATGTAATGCGCCAAATCCTGTAGGAAGAAAGGAAGAAAGAATAACATCTTTCCCTTTGATAAAACTCACCAAACATTCTCTTCGTCCTGGCTTTAAATCCTCGATCTCAGGAATCATAAAGTATGGCTCTTTGGTGATTGGCTGGTGCTCGGACTCGCACTTTCAGGATTCTTGCAAACCGTCTATTGTATTCCGATTCCTGACCTAGTCGCTGGAGAGAAATTAGATTGAGCTAGGCACTATGTGGAGCCAGCCTGGCTAGTGTAACCTGTCCATTTTACGAAGAACTGGACCGTATTTTAGGAGACAAGCCCAGCGTTTAGGCAACTTCTGTAAACACTGTGTCGTCGTGTCCTCTAATGCGCATGTGGGACACTTTTAGGCCGTTTAACTCTTTCCCCCATGAAGACGACATTTGACGACCCCCCTGAACCCTTAATGACGACTTTTGACACCTCCGCTGTATCACTAAAGACGTGATTTGACGACCTTTAGAACTGGCTCGGTTTTTCACATTTAAACAGAGACTGTGATAGGTCGGGGCCACTACAACCCACACTAGACTGACCAATAGGATTCAAGGATATGTTTTCGCCGATTTTTTCCGAAGTTAATCGAAATAATGACGATGTTAGCTTCCGGAAAAAACACAACACGAAACACGTGCAATGGAAAGATCTCCCTGCGGCGCACAGTTTTAGAAATAATGAGGAGCGGACGTATTTTATGGATAAGTTTAGAGAAAGTGACTTTTATAGATTTCAAAGTGATGATGAGGTTGATTATAAAGTGGAAAACAGCGATAGCGACGGACTTACAGAGAGTGAATCTTACGAAGATGAGAATGCCGCTGATGCGTCTGTGTGGAGTCCTGCGATATCCGAACAAACTATCCGGGCTTTATACTCGATTATGAACCAAAATTGCCCTGAAATCACTCGTGGAAGTCTGTTTTCTTTTATGCAGTTATGCTCTATGGGCAGCCCTAGTAACATATGTATGGGTTGTTCCTAGTAGGCGTCCAGGGGGGAAAGAGTTAAAGTTCACACTGGAGATCACACACAAGTCGCATTTAATTGGAAACGTGATCAACCTCGCAAAAAAATCGGATTCCACAAAAAAAATCTGAATTGAGCGTTAAGCCGTGCAGTCGAGAAACAACATTTTGCTCAAATACATGGAAAGAAAGATCAGTTACAGCACCTTTAACCAAACAAAACTGTAGCTGAAATAAAAGAAAAGCCAAAAAATACAACAAAAGTTTTCGACTTAAAACATGGACTAAAACATGGACTAAACCTGGACTAAACCATAGACTTGGTTTAGGACTTTGGTTTTGGACCAAACCAGAACTAAAGGCGGATTAGACCAGAATCGATCGATCAGGATTTAACCAGGACTAAACTAGAACTAAATTAGGATCAAACCAAGACTGCAGCAGAACCAAACCAAGTCTTCTACAGGATTTAACTAGGACTTAAACAGGAATGAATAAGGACTAAACAAGGACTAAACCTGGACTAAAACCATGAACCCTATTCAAATCATGATCAAGCAAAGACTGAAGCAGGAAAAGATCACGACTAAAGAAGGGTTAGATTAGGACTGAACCAGGACTGAACCAAGGTTGAACCAGGACTACACCATGACTAAACCATGAAAAAAAAAACTGAATAGGCCATTGTAACACTAGTTGATTCAGTTACGCACAACCTTCCCCTCCTTTGTCCCGTGTCTCCGCTGTGTTGTGAAGTGTTTTAGTTATCTTAGTTCTTGTTCAGCGGTATTTGTCTCTCTTTCTATCAATACGAGTTGCCGTGATTGTTGCAGTGAGCCAAGCTAATCATGTACTTGGGGAGTCCTGTATTGTGTTACAGATCACTACTTTGGGCTGTTTTTGTTGTGCTAATGACTGTTTTCCTCAGAGCCAAATACAAAGAGTGCCATTTCAATCTGCTATGGTAAGAGATGAGTTTCTGCGTCACCTAGCAACGCAATATCTACATAAATATATACATCTATACTAGTGCTGTCACGATACTAACATTAAAGGTTGTACGGAGGATTTTTTTTAGTTTCAAACTGTCAGTGAAAGATTAAAATATCATTACAGAGACAGAGCAGCTTTGTAATTATGATGACCAAAAAAAAAAAGAAAGAAAATCTATCAACTGTGGACGTGTTGAGGCCAGATAAACATCAGCCAATAGAAAACGAGGCTCCCTCATTTTCTATTGGCTGTTAGGTTGTCAATCAAACTCCCTAGTATAACTGACTCGTCGGAGCGCGGGGATTACGTGGTTTACGCAGCGGTTCTTAGAGGCTTTTTCGAACTGTCGCTTCCTCGCATTTCGCACAAAGTTTGTCGCAACGGCGGACGAGAATCCACGACCGGTTCGCCGCAAAAGAAAGTCCGTTTTTGAGGTCGCTGAAAGAAGAAGAGAAGGGGAAAAGGAGCGAAGACAAACTGAGGTGATTCTTGGAGATCTCGTCCAGCGATGAATTACTTCTAGACAGGTCACTTCAACAGTAATTCTGAACGCGCACAAGGACTGTCGCTGTATTTCTCTTCCCTTAAAAAAATCCTCTATACAACCTTTAAGATATTAAGGAAAAGATTTGGCACTCAAGACTGATTCTGATACCACGATAATAATACAAATGTGATTTTTAACATTCAATCATAGGACTTTCTTTTATATTTATTTATTTTATATATACATGCTCGAATAAGTATCTAGTTTCAATACAAATTTTAGTATTAATTAGTATCTGAGTTTCATTACTTTTGACGAGGGCTGAGTATCATTTAGAAGTTGCTGATACGATACATACGATACAGTACATAGGCCACGATCTCGATACAGTTCACTTTCAGTTCGACACGATACGTTTCGAAGTGGTTCGATATGGTTCAATAAAAACTAAAGGTTAAATCATGGCTGTGATACTAAAAGTCTTTGTTAAAGCACTTATAAAACAGTTGATAGTCAAGGTCAGTTAAAAACAATCAATTCAGTCATTGTGTGTCCTTAGGCAAGACACTTTGCCCACATTGCCTAGTATGAAAGTGGCAAGGCAAGTTTATTTGTACAGCACAATTCGTACACAAAGTGCTTTACAGAATAAGAAATATATTAAAATCATAATAAAAACAAATCAAAACATAAATAATCATGAAGATTAAAATAAAAAAAGAGAGACATAAATTGGAGAGAAGAGTGCGGAATGAAAACCTTTCAGTTTATGCACAGTTAAACAGAAATGTTTTGATCCTGGATTTAAACAGCGTCACAGAAGAGTCTGTCTCACATGTTCAGACTGTTCCAGGTTTTAGCTGCATGAACCTGAAACTCTGACTCCCCTTGTTTAGTCGTGACTCTGGGCACCAGCAGGAGGCCGGTCCCTGAGCTCCTCAGAGTGTGAGATGGTTCATATGACACTAACATGTCACAGATGGACTTTGGTGCTCGGCCATGGAGAGACTTGTACACAAGCAGAGCTGCTTTAAAGTCTATTCTCTGAGGCACAGGAAGCCAGTGCAGAGACCTGAGCACAGGACTTATGTGCTCGTACTTCCTAGTTCGAGTCAGGACCCGAGCTGCAGCGTTCTGGATGTTCTGGATGTTCTGGATGTTCTGGATGTTCTGCAGCGTCTCACAGCTCGTTTGGAGAGACCAGTGAGCAGAACATTACAGTATCTAATCTACTGGAGACAAACGCATGGATAAGTGGTGTGTGTGTGAGTGATGGTGGTGGTCGGAGGGACCGATGGCACTGCAGCCGCGCCTCTGTCAGTGTGCCCCAGGGCAGCTGTGGCTACAATAGTAGCTTACCATCACCAGGGTATAGAGTGAATGAATAATGCTGTATGAATGAATCCTGAATGAATAA